GGGGGCATTTCAGACAGTAATATATGTTATGAGTGATCAGTTGTGAGCCGTTGGATCTGGGCTGATGAATAGTGGAGATCAACAAAGTCCAAAACTGTCACGACCCCGATTCGTCCTCCATCAACCATCGTGATGGTACCTAGTCTCTACGACTAGGTTAGCCTAACAAAGCGGAAAATAAACCAAATTTGCGGAAGATATAATTAAAATAAAATAGTGAAATAAAATAGTTTTTAAAAGTGCTGCTCGACATACACAATAATAACTCTCAAAATTTGAATACATTTCCCAAAATCCGGAATCTCATGATCACAAGCTTTTGAATATCTACAAGTATCTAACTCCAGAATATCTAACAAAGGAAAGAAAAAATACAGAAGGGCTAATACTTAAAAGGGGGAGTAGAAAGGGACTCTTCGGTCTACGGACGCGGCAGATATACCTCGGAGTCTCTACAAATGCCCTGTCTCAAGCGTGATGAGCCTGAGTGGAGGTACCTGGATCTGCACATGAAAAACATGCACAGAAAGGGCATGAATACACCATAGCGGTACTCAGTAAGTGCCAAGCCTAACCTCGGTCGGGTAGTAACGAGAAAGGTCAGGGCCCTACTGAGATTAAATGAAATATAAGGTGCGATAGTATAAGATAAAGCAGTACATTTGAAAGATAACAATAAGAATTAATACAGGATAAAGGACTACTACAACTGAAACGGAGGCAAAAACAATCACCAGGAATGCCACTCTTCACAAAGATAATAATCGGGGATCTCTCAATATCCCTAGGATTTCTTAGTACCCTCAATACGTGACAGGGATCTCTTGGTATCCTCAATATATGCTAGGGATCTCTTGGTATCCTCAATATACGTGCTAGGGATCTCTCGGTATCCCGCACCTCAACTCAAATCATAAATACGTGCAGGGGATCTCCAGGGATGTCGTCCCGTAGTCCCAAAGTAAAACACACAGCAACAACACAAGGAATACTCAATTAAGCTAAATTTCGTACCAAGTAAAATAGGTAATTCTAACCTAATATGCTTCACATAATACAATTTCGGCAGTTTAAGCAAATAAGCAATTAAGTAAATTAAACATGCTTTTCTAAGCTAACATCAGATTTAAATTTCAAGTAGAGTAAGCAGAAAGGGAAAACACAATTAAAGCTACTTAAGTGAAAACAGGATTTTTCAACAATTAACACAAGTACACACTCGTCACCTCACGTACAAGGCATTTCTATTACCACAATACCAAATCCTAAGGGGAATGTCCCCCACACAAGGTTAGGCAAGCCACTTACCTCGAACCGGCTCAAAAAGTCAACCCGAAACCACGTTGTTGCCACGAGTACTCGACTCCAAATGGCCCAAATCTATTAAATTCAATTGCATAATGTAAATAACACTTCAAGTAACTGATTCTACAAATAAATTCTAAGCTAATACGCGAAATTAGGTAAAATGACCAAAATACCCCTCAGGCCCACATCTTGGAATTTGGTGAAATATACATTTTCAGAATCCACATACTCTCATGAGTCTATACATAACAAAAACACTGAAATCGGAGTTCAATTGACCCCTAAAATACCCATTTTAAGGTCTCTTAATCTCAAGCCCTAATTACCCACTTTTCCCAAAATATTTCACCACTAATTAGACCTTTCATCACATATAAACAAGTTATGAAGTCAAGAATGCTACCTCCAAGTGATTCCCCTTTGGTTTCCTCAAAAATCACCCTCAAAAGCTTCAATCCCGTTCAAAAATGGTGGAAAAATGAAGAAGGGTCGTGGATGGGCTATTTAAATACTACCCAGATATTCCTTCTTCGCGAACGCGGATGGCCCCTCGCGTTCGCGAAGCACAAATTCGCTTGGGTCCAGATTCCTTCATCGCGAACGCGATACCCAAGTCGCGAACGCGATGCAAAACCTCCTCCTCCTACGCGAACGCGGGAACACCATCGCGAACGCGTAGGTATAAAACCTCCCAGCTTCGCGAACGTGAAGCACAAAAACTCCCCCAGCCCCAGCTCCTCTTCGCAAACGCGAGACCCTACTCGCAAACGCGAAGAAGGAAACCAGAACTGGAGTGCTGCAGTTTTTCTGTAATTCCAACAAGTTCCAAAATGCCCCGTTGAGCATCCGAAACACACCCGAGGCCCCCGGGACCTCAACCAAATATGCCAACCAATCCTAAAACATCATTCAAACTTGTTCCAATCTTCGAAATGCTCAAAACAACATCAAAACACCAATTTAGCATCAGATTCAAGCCTAAGAACTTCAAAACTCTCAAAATACGCTTTCGATCAAAAAGTCTATCAAACCTCGTCCGAATGACCTGAAATTTTGCACATACGTCACATTCAGCACTATAGAGCTACTCCAACTTCTGGAATTCCATTCCTACCCTCGGATCAAAAACTCACTATCGAACCGGAAACTTCAAAAATTCAACTTTCGGCATTTCAAACCTAAATTAGCTACAGACCTCCAAAACACCATCCGAATGCGCTCCTAAACCCGAAATCACCCAACCGAGCTAACGGAACCATCAGAATTCCATTCCAAAGCCGTTTTCATACTGTTCCGACTATGGTCAAATTTCCAAAACTTAAGCTCTTAATTTAGGGACTAAGTGTCCCAAAACTCTCCAAAACTCCCAATAATTCCCCCCACAACAGCAGAAACAAACACGAGGAAAACAGTTAATAGGGGATCGGGGCATAAATTCTTAAAACGACCAGCCGGGTCATTACATCCTCCCACACTTAAACATTCATTCGTCCTCGAACGAGCATAGAGACATACCTGAAGTAGTGAAAAGATGTGGGTAACGACTGCACATATCCTGCTCGGTCTCCCAGGTTGCCTCCTCAACCGGCTGACGCTGCCACTGAACCTTCACTGATGCAATGTTCTTTGACTTCAGCTTTCTAACTTGCCTATCCAATATTGCCACTGGCTCCTTAACATAAGATAGATCCTTGTCCAACTGGACTGAACTGAAATCTAATACGTGCGACAGATCACCGTGGTACCTCCAGAGCATCGAAACATGAAATACTGGATGAACTCCTGCCAGGCTGGGAGGTAAGGCAAGCTCATAAGCAACCTCCCCAACACACCTCAATATCTCAAAAGGGCCAACAAACCTCGGATTCAAGTTCCCCTTCTTCCCAAATTTCATAACGCCCTTCATAGGCAAAACTCGAAGCAGAACCCGCTCTCCAAACATATAGGAAACATCACGAACCTTCCGGTCCGCGTAACTCTTCTGTCTGGACTGGGATGTGCAGAGTCTATCCTGAATCACCTTAACCTTCTCTAAAGCATCCTAAACCAAGTCTGTGCCCAATAATCTGGCCTCACCCGGCTCAAACCAGCCCACCGGGGATCCACACCGACTACCATATAAAGCCTCATACAGTGCCATCTGAATGCTGGACTGATAGTTGTTGTTGTAGGCAAACTCTGACAATGGAAAGAACTGATCCCATGACTCTTCAAACTCAATCATACACGCACGGAGCATATCCTCAAGAATCTGAATAGTGCGCTCGGACTGTCCGTCCGTCTAAGGGTGAAATGATGTACTCAACTCCACCCGAGTACCCAACTCATGCTGAAGGCCCTCCAAAATCGTGATGTGAACTGAGTACCTCTATCTGAAATGATAGAAACTAGAATACCATGCAGACGAACAATCTCCCGGATATAAATCTCCGCCAACCGCTCCGAAGAATAAGTAGTACACATAGGAATGAAGTGTGCGGACTTGGTCAACCGATCCACAATCACCCAAATGGCATAGAACTTCCTCAAGGTCTGTGGGAGCCCAACTACAAAGTCCTGATCTGCTCCCACTTCCACTCCGGAATCTCTATCTGCTGAAGTAACCCTCCCGGTCTCTAGTGCTCATACTTCACTTGCTGAAAATTGAGGCACCGAGCTACAAATCCAAATATATCTTTCTTCATCCACCTCCACCAATAGTGCTGCCTCAAATCTTGATACATCTTCGCGGCACCCGGATGAATGGAATACCGCAAACTATGGGCCTCCTTTGGAATCAAGCCCATCAACATTGGGTACACAAATCTTACCCTACATCCTCAATACCCTGTCATCATCAATGGTCACATCTCTGGCATCACCATGGTGAACCTTGATCTTGAGGACAAGAAAATGAGGGTCATCATACTGACGCTCCCTGATACTATCAAATAAGGAAGACCGAGAAACCACGCAAGCTAGAACCCGACTGGGCTCCGAAAGGTCCAATCTCACAAACTGGCTGGCTAAGGCCTGAACATCCATCGCCATAGGCCTCTCCGATGCTGGTAAATAAGCCAAACTCCCCAAACTCTCTGCCCGACGACTCAAGGCATCGGCTACCATATTGGCATTGCCCGGGTGATACAAAATAGTGATATCATAGTCCTTCAGCAACTCTAACCATATCCTCTGGCGCAAATTTAGATCCTTTTGCTTGAACAAGTGCTGCAAGCTCCGATGATCAGTATAAATCTCACAAGGAACCCCGTACAAATAATAACGTCAGATCTTCAGGGCGTGAACAATGGCAGCTAACTCAAGGTAGTGGACAGGATAATTCTTTTCGTGAACCTTCAACTGTCTGGACGTGTAGGCAATCACCCTACCGTCCTGTATCAAAACACTCCAAGGCCAATCCCCGAGGCATCACAATAGACAGTGTAAGACCCCGAACCTATAGGCAATATCAAAATTGGGGTTGTAGTCAAAGCTGTCCTGAGCTTCTGAAAGCTCGTCTCACACTCTTCCGTCCACTGAAACGGAGCACCCT